TATTTAAGAATCGGGTGCAGCCCTTCGTTGCCCCCTCGCTGCCCTTCGTGGCCCCGTTGCAGCCCTTCGTGGCCCCCTCGCTGCCCTTCGTGGCCCCGTTGCAGCCCCTCGTGGCCCCCTCGCTGCCCTTCGTGGCCCCATATCTGTATGCCCTTCGTGGCCCCCATCGCTGCCCTTCGTGTCCCCGTTGCAGCCCTTCGTGGCCCCCTCGCTGCACTTCGTGGCCCCGTTGTAGCCCTTCGTGGCCCTTTGCTGCCCTTCGTGGCCCCGTTGCAGCCCCTCGTGGCCCCCTCGCTGCCTTTCGTGTCCCCATTGCAGCCCTTCGTGGCCCCCTCGCTGCCCTTCGTGGCCCCGTTGCTGCCCTCAGTGGCCCCGTCCTTGCCCTCCGCGGCCCAATATGTGCATGCCCTTCGTGGCCCCTGCTCGTTCGCGCCCGTCGTGGCCCCACGTGCATGCCCTTCGTGGCCCCATTGCAGCCCTTTGTGGCCCCCTCGCTGTCCTACGCGGCCCCGTTGCTGCCCTCAGTGGTCGCGTCGTTGCATTCCGTGGCCCTATTATCTGCCCTTCGTTGCCCCCGCTCGTTCGCGCTCTTCGTGGCCCCATACGCATTCCCTTCGTGTCCCCGCTGTCGCCCTTCGTGGCCTACTTCGTGCCTTTCGTGGCCCTGCTGTCGTTCTCTCTCTCGCTTTCGCTTTCGCTCGTCGTCGTCGTCGACGACGACGTCGTCGTCGTTGTCGGTCCCCTGTCCGTCCCCCTTGGTGTCGGGCTGCCGTCCGCTGGCCAGGCCGACGGTCCGCGGCCGCCCCGCCGCTTGCCGGGGCCCGCCTGCAGGGAAGAAAGGTATACCCCCCAAAAGGGGTACGATCGAAGATGAAGAGGGCGGGTATCGAGGGTTTGGGAACCACGCGTCAACGGATACTCGAGCAGATAAGAGCGAACAATCTTAAACATATGTGTTGTTGTTGTTGTTGTTGTTGGTGTTGGTGTTGGTGTTGTTGTTGTTGTTGTTGTTGTTGTTGTTGTTGTTGTTGTTGTTGTTGTTGAGCTTTCGCTTCTGAAGAATAATTATTGTTGATCCCCCCCGTCCGGTACACATTGCTTTTTTCGATTGAAGTGCCCTTCCCGGGGCTCGCACCATGTGTTTTATCAGGGAAAGTCTTGAAGGTCAAACTGTGTCGTCGGCCCCCGGTTTACAACAACAGCGGCTCCCGCTTGAGACTCCGTCACAATTTAGCCAGGACCCCCCCTCCCGCCCGAGACTTCCTCGCATTTTATTCAGGAATCGCGCTCCCGCTTTGGACCTCCTTACAATTTATGCAGGAATCGCTCTGCCGGCGTTCTGGAGTCGCGCTCTCGCTGTTGCTTGCATATATATATATATATATATATATATATATATATATATATATATATATATATATATGAAAAATACCCTTGCGTTTATCTTTCTTGCAATTCACTCAAGCGCCGCGCTCCCGACACCCAGGCGCCCAGGAGTCTCGCTCACGCTTAGGATTCCCTTACCGATTACCTAGGAATCGGGATCTCGCTGCCCTTCGTGGCCCCGTTGTAACCCTTCGTGACCCCCTCGCTGCCCTTCGTGGCCCCATATATGTATGCCCTTCGTGGTCCCCTCGCTGCACTTCGTGTCCCCGTTGCAGCCCTTCGTGGCCCCCTCGCTGCGCTTCGTGTCCCCAGCCCCTCGTGGCCCCCTTGCAGCCCTTCGTGGCCCCCTGCGCGCCCCCGTCCCCGTTGCAGCCCTTCGCTGGTGGCCCCCCCTTCGTGGCCCTCGCTGCCCTTCGTGGCCCCGTTGCAGCCCCTCGTGGCCCCCTCGCTGCCCTTCGTGTCCCCATTGCAGCCCCTCGTGGCCCCCTCGCTGCGCTTCGTGGCCCCGTTGCAGCCCTTCGTGGCCCCCTCGCTGCGCTTCGTGGCCCCGTTGCAGCCCTTCGTGGTCCCCTTGCTGCCCGTCGTGGCCCCGTTGCAGCCCCTCGCGGCCCCCTCGCTGCCCTTCGTGGCCCCGTTGCAGCCCCTCGTTGCCCCATGTGCATGCCCTTCGTGGCCCCGCTGTCGCCCCTCGTGGCCCCCTCGCTGCCCTTCGTGGCCCCGTTGTAGCCCTCAATGGCCCCGTTCTTGCCCTCCGCGGCCCAATATGCGTATGCACTTCGTGGCCCCCGCTCGTTCGCGCCGGTTTCGGCCCCATGCGCATGCCCTTCGTGGTCCCGCTGTCGCCGTGTGTGGCCCCCTCACTGTCCTACGTGGCCCAGTTGCTACCTTCAGTGGCCCCATCGTTGCCTTCTGTGGCCCCGCATTATCTGCCTTTCGTTCCCCCCCGCTCGCTCGCGCTCTTCGTGGCCCCATACGCATTGTCTTCGTGTCCCCGTTGTCGCCCCTCGTGGCCTACTTCGTGTCCGTCGTGGCTTTGCTGTCGTTCTTTCTATCGCTCTCGCTTTCGCTCGTCGTCGTCGTCGTCGTCGTCGACGTCGTCCTCGCCGTGGTCAGCCCCCTGTTCGTCCCTCTGGGGGTCGGGTCGACGGTCCGCGGCCGCCCCGCCGATCAGCGCTGCCGCTGGCCAGGCCGACGGTCCGCGGCCGCCCCGCCGCTTGCCGCGGCCTGGCCTGCAGGGAAGAAAGGTATAGCCCCCAAAAGGGGTACGATCGAAGACGGAGAAGGCGGGTATCGAGGGTTTGGGAAAGACGCGTTATTGGACACTCGAGCCGATAAGGGCGAACAATCTTAAACTGATTGTTGTTGTTGCTGTTGTTGTTCTTGTATATTCAATTCTACGAAAATTGTGGATCTCCGGAAACGGTTCCGCGCGCTCTCGCCTCGACGGCGGATGCATTTTCTCTAAGAACGAGGCTTCCGCTCGAGCGTTGACTTGTTGACCCTAGAAGTGGGCCCTTGGAGGCCCAGCTACGACAACAACGGCTCCCACTCGGTACTTCTTCACAGTTTACCTCGAGACACCCTGGCCAGAGAGGCTCCCGAACTCAGGAACGGAGCTCTCGCTCGAGACTTCCTCGCAATTCAATCAAGTTGGCGGGGGCCCAACCACGACGACAAAGGCTCCTGCTCGATACTTCCTCACGGTTTACTCCGCGAGCCCCTGGCCAGGCAGGCCCCCGAACTCAGGAACGGCGCTCCCGCTAGAGTTCTGCCCGTAATTCAATCAATTTGGTGGAGGCCCAACTGTGACAAGGGCTCTCGTTCGATACTTTCTCAAGATGTATTCGCAGAGGACCTTGCCAGAGAGGCCCCCGAAATCAAGAGTGGCGCTCTCGCTCGAGACGCCCTCGTCATTCAGTCAATTTGGTGTGGGCCAATCCGCGACGACGAGGGCTCCCGTTCGTGACTTCCTCAAGCTGTACTTCGAGAGCCCCTGGCCCGAGACTGTAATTCAGCAGCGGCGCCGGAGGCCCACCTGCGACGACAGATGCTCCCGCTCGACCCCCCCTTTATCATCCCTAGACGACCTGGCCAAAGAGGCCCCCAAACCACAAAGGCCCCAACACGCTGCTAATTGAGGCCTTCGGACACAGCCCACAAAAGCTCCAAGCGCGCCCACAAGGGTCCCAGCACGCTGCCCAATGATGCTTTCGGGCACAGCCCACAGAGGTCCCGGCGCGTTGCCCACTGAGGCCCCTAACACAAAACTCACTGAGGCCCAGAGTAAGCCCACAAGGACCGTAGCATGCTGCCCGCAGGCCCTCCGGCACAGCCCACATAGGCGCCAAGCGCGCCCACAGATGCTCGCCCGCGCTGCCCACAAACCCCAACAAACGCGCCCACAGAGGGCCCAGCGCGCTGCCCCCCGACACAGCCCGCAGAGGCCCCAGCCCTCAGAGGTCCCAAGCGCGCCCACAGAGGCCCCAGTCCACAGAGGCCCCAAGCGCGCCCAGGGAGGCCCCAGCGCGCTGCCCACTGAGGCACCCGACGCAGCCCACAGAGGCCCCGAGCGTGCCCACGGAGGCCCCAGCGCGCTGCCCTTTGACGCCCCGACACCCTACAGAGGCCCCACACGCGCCCACAGAGGGCCCTGCCTGCAGAGGCGCCAAGCGCGCAGAGGCCCCCGCGCGCTGCCAACTGAGACCCTCATGCGCAGCCCACAGAGGCTCCAGAGGCCCCAGCCCACAGAGGCCCCAAGCACGCCCACAGAGGCCCCAAGCGCGCCCGCAGAGGCCACAGCGCGCTGCCCACTGAGGCCCCAGCCCACAGAGGCCCTAAGCGTGTCCACAGAGCCCCCCGCGCGCTGCCCACTGAGGCCCCACGATAATGTCCACAGAGGCCCCAGCGCGCCCACAGAAGCCCCAGCCCGCAGAGGTCCCAAGCGCGCCCACAGATGCCCCAGCGCGCTGCCCACTGAGGCCCCAAACGCGCCCTCAGAGGCCCCAGCCCGCAGAGGCCCACTGAATCGCCAAGCCAGCCCACTGAGGCCCCCGCGCACTGCCCACCGAGTCTTCCGACACAGCCCACAGAGGCCCCAAGCGCGCCCACAGAGGCTTTAGCCCGCAGAGGCCCCAAGCGCGCCCACAGAGGCCGGTGCGCGCTGCACTCTGGGTCCTTCGAGCGCGAAGACGCGCTGCTGCGCCAAATGCAGGAGACGATCGACCGTTACACGCTCCTCCCAGTCTCTTCCTCCTCCTACGACGACGTCGACGATAATGACAACGCTCCTCCCAGCCTCCTCCTCCTCCTCCTCCTCCTCCTCCTCCTCCTCCTCCTCCTCTTCCTTCTTCCTCCTCCTCCCTCGCCCCTCCCAGCCTCCTTCTGCTCCTGCTCCTTCTCCTGCTCCTGCTCCTCCTGCTCCTCCTGTTCCTCCTGCTCCTCCTGCTCCTCCTGCTCCTGCTCCTGCTCCTGCTCCTCCTCCTCCTCCTCCTCCTGCTCCTCCCCCTCGCCCCCACAACAACGACGACGAACGCGACGACGGCAACGACAGCGTGGCCGCGGCGTGCTCCGCACGGTCGCTCGCGCGGGGGAAGCCGCCGCAGGCCATCGAGTGCCTTCCTCAACTCCTCCTGGACGCGAGGGTCCTGCCGCTGGGAGGGGACGGGAGGGGAGCGGGGGGATGGTCGGGGGGTGAGCAGACGAGGCCCTGGACAAGTTTTAAAGAACCCCGTACACCGCCCCGCCCGACGGCCCGTTCTGCTCCCCCCTCTCCCCCGCCCCCCCCCACGCACACCGAATCCACCCCCCAACGCCCTCACGAGATGCGACCCCCCCAACCCCTGCCCCCACGCTTCGCGCAGGACAACTCCGCTCCGCCCAGCCACACGATCCATGGGATGGATCGCACCGGGGGGGATGGCGCTCTTCTTCGCGTGGTGCGGGGAGGTTGGATCGCGGGTCGGCGCGCGTGTGGGGAGAGGGGGCGGAACGAGCTGTCGGGTTGTGTGGCATTGAGCAGCGTGGCGTAGACGTGGTTCGGAAGAAGTTCGCAGACAGATGAAGTAGGAAGGAAGCCCAAATAGGTTAGACTTCGCCCCGCCTAAATCACGGACGGTTGAAGTGGAAGGCCTCGATCATTGAAGCAGGAAGGCGCTTGAAGTATGAAAGGATCTGGGAATCCAGTGAAACATAATTTTAAACAAAAAACGAGGGACCCGAAGAGAAAGGGAGCAGCAATAGGAGAGAGGGGACAGGCAAGGGAAGACACCGCTGGCACTCCTGTCTTGCTCCCCAGGCTGTTGTAAGTGGGTGGCCCCGCCAGGGACGTAACCTTCGCTTTCGAAGGGGCACTCAAACTATCATTAGGACCCTCTCCTCGCCCCTAGCTCTATTCCCATAACTCTGCTTGTTGCAGTGCTGCTGCTCTCGCTCATGCTGAGACGGTACTTACTACTAGAACCACGCGCGCGGTTCGCGCGCGCGTGGGTTCTAGCAAACATGGGTCCTCGACAAGCATACAACTGCAAACACGTATCCATACATGTATATACACATACGACCCCGACCAAACCTTCAGCACAGCTGGAAGAAACTTCCAGAACTTGTAAATATTAAGCGCGGGTTCCTCCCATGCCAAATAACGCAAGTGCAATGCAATGCAAGCAAAACTATGCAGCTCACGTGCATTGCACTTCGAAACGACGTGGTCCAAAACAAATGCAATGGTAAAACGTGTATTTCAACGCAGCGCTAACACACGCAACGCAAACACACAACATAATTACTGTACAAACGACTCACACGCTACGCGATGCCATATGCAATATTAACCACAATAGCTTATATGCAATACAAGGCAAACCATACCGAAAGAACGCAGCGTATTTCAATGCACAGCAATGCAGAGCTACACAACACAATGCAAGCCAACAGAGGCACAACACAACACAACACAATGCCAACGATGAACAATCAAGAAACACATTGCAACGCGAAGAATCCAGCGAACCCGAAGAGCTTGGGGAACCCGGTAAAAGAACAACGAGTAATTCGACAAGCAGGACACCCAATGCCCCACACACCACACACCGCGGAAGGCCCTCAGGGAGAAAAGTGGAAAACACCGGCCAATAGCGACCCGTGGCCGTAAAGGGCGCCAGTCCCAGCTGCCGCAGCCAGGCGCGAGAGCGGCGGAGGCAGGCGAGAGGAAACGCAAAGAAACGGATCTGGGCAATCTAGATACATCGCGCGGATATGCTACACACTCTGGGCCGTCATCGCCACCGCGAGCCCTGGCAATACTCTAATCTGTGGGCCTCCAAGAAGGAGTCGCAAGCTTTGACGCCCGAATCCCGCCAGCCCTTTGGAGCGTGGGTGATTTAGAGCGTTTCCTCTTCCAACTCCCTTCGTCCCCTTCGGGGAGGGGCTCACCCCTCCCCCCTACCCCACCTTCTGGATCGGAAGGGGGGAGGGAGCGGAGGGTCGTCGGAGCATCAAAAATGCCCTCGGCGAGAAGGCAACACCATTGATTGTGCTCAGGTTTGGCCACATTTTGGCTTTCTGCCGAGGGACCCAAATTAAGACACCCTCCTACTTTGATCGACCTCCTCCAAGATGGCATCACGATGGCCCCCTGGAGTGCCCCAGGACGGCCCCACAAAGTGGGTGCCCAGCAAGCCCCAGGAGGTCCACAAGACCACAAGGCCCCCCCAGAGGGCCCCAAGACGCCCCAAGAAGCCTCGGCAAGAAGGCCTAGATCATTGATTTCACAAAGGCTTTGGCCACATTTTGGCCTTTTGCGGGGGGGAGCCATAATGAAGGAGCCCCCCTCCTCTGCTCGATCTCCTCCAAGATGGCCCCACGATGGCCCCCAAGGGTCCCAAGGGTGCCCGGAGACAGCCCCAACAGGTGCACAGGGGGCCCCAAGAGGCCCCCCAAGAAGCCCTCAAGATGCCCGTAATAGGCTCCCAACAGACCCACGAGGCCCCCCAAAGGTACCCAAGACGCCCCAAGTTGCCTCGGCGATAAGGCTACAACCATTGATAAGGCTTTGGCCACACTTTGGCCTCCCAGTGGGGGACCCTAATGCACTACGGCCCCCTCCTTTGATCGATCTCCTCCAACATGGCCCAATGTTGCCCCTGGAGGCTCTCAAGGGTGCCCCAAAACGGACCCGAAAGGTACCCAGAATACCCCAAGAGGCCCCCAAGAGGCCCCGAAAGTGCCCCCAAGAGGATCCCAAGAGACTCCCAGAAGGCCCCACGGGGCTCCCTAGAGGCACCCAATACGCCCCAAGAGGCTCCTGGAACTGCCAAGAGAATACTTCGAGAAACTTGCAGAAGAAATCCGAAGAGATTCCGAGAGGCATCCAAGAGGCTTCTGGCCTTCCGTTCGCCCTCCTCCTCCTCCTCCTCCTTCTCCGCTTCCTCCTCCTTCTCAGCTTCCTCATCTGCCTATTCCTCCTCCTTCCTCCGCCCTCCTCCCCCTCCCCCTCTCTCTCGCTCCTGTTCCTCCTCCTCCTCCTCCTCCTCCTCCTGCTCTCCTGCTCCATCCTCCCCCTCTTAAGGTTAGACGGGTTGAGCAGCCACTGTATTCCGCTGCATGCTCTTCCACGTCCCTGATCAGGGCACCTCGTCTGGGTGTCGTTTCTGGATGGGCTGGTGGGGTTGCGCGAGGCGTCTAGGATAACTGCAATTTCCTCCCCCGAGTGAGCGGCCAGACCAACGGGAGCGGAAGTGGGCCTCGAGCGAGGCAGCTCGCCTTCCCCGCCCAAGAGAATGCCGCGCGATCCTCCGGCACCTGCCGGCAAGAAGGAACAACAACACACGAAATTTGGAGCGCATTGCCCGCACCTCTTTCCGAATATGGAGACCGGGTCGAAGAGAACGCAAACCACCCGACCGTGCAACTGGGACGAGGCAGACACGCGACGACCCACGGCCACCAAGAGCACTGCGTGCACACGCCACGCACGCCAGTCGCAACGCGCAGGCAACGCATTCGAAGCGCTACGCGCTCGTAACGCAAAAGGCGCGTCACGCGCACCTGCTGAGGAGGCACTGCGAGCATGCCAGCTACACAGCGAACATCGTCTGCACCGCGGTATGGACACACAGCGAAGGCACGTTTTATGACGTGGGTGGGAAGATCACAGGCGCTGCTCTTCCGACCGTGCCACCGAGAAGGGGTCAGCCGGCGTGCGACTGGCGACGAAGCACACCACGCGCACATGCCACGCGTGCAATGCGCACCAGGCACGCTCAAGCTTGACGCGTCTGGCTTCTCGGCGGCATGCTTGACAAGCTTCCTGGCCACGTCCAGCCGTCGTTGGGCCCCGTCCTCGAGCACTCTGGACGCATGCTGCAAGGGGCCGTCTTGGGTGTCTGGGAGCCTGTTGGGGCGCGTTGGGGCCCGCCCGGGCTCCCGAGAGGCCCTCATGGGGCGCCTTACGGGCCCTCATGGGCCGTCTGGAGCCGATCTTGGGCCGTCCGGGGCCCCTCTTGGAGCCCCTCTGGGGCCTTTCTGGGCCGCGCTGGGGTGAACGCGTTCGGGCGATCTCGGGAGCTGTCACGGCCGAAAAGACGAAGATGCGGACGTCATGCAAACATCGCAAGAGCATCAATGAATTCTTAATTTCGGAGGCCTCTCATTTCTGGGCCACCTGGGCGGGTTTTGGGGGTCGGTTTGGCCGTCTTCGAAGCGTCTCTGCTGTCCCTGGGCGCCCTGGGTTTAGCTGGAGCGTTCACTCGGGCCGCCCTGGTGCTGGCTGAAGCTAGCTTGGTGCTCCAGACCCCAAGGGTAAAATCGGCGCCCGGGACCTGGTCGCCAGATCGGTGGAACGGAGACCCCCAACCAGGAAATCGTTTCGTTTCGTTCGTGTCGTGCGTGCGTGCGAGGCGAAGCTGCGTGGGCGCGCCAGAGGAATGAACCCGCCGTTGCTAGGGCGAAATCAAGACAAATGATTCTCCTCCGTCCGTCCAGCGGTGGCCCTAGCGGTGTCCCGCGGTGTCCCGTGGTGTCCGCCGTTGCTAGGGCGAAGTCAAGACAAATTATTCTCCTCCGTCCGGCGGTGGCCCTAGCGGTGTTGCGTGGTGTCCCGTGGTGTCCGCCGCTGCTAAGGCGAAGTTAAGACTAATGAATCTCATCCGTCCGGCGGTGGCCCTAGCGGTGTCCCGTTGAGTGAGATCGATAGTGAGATCGATAGTGAGATCGACAAATGTCCCATGGTGTCCCGTGGTGTCCCGTTGAGTGAGATCGATAGTGAGATCGATGTGGTGCCCCGAGGTGCCCCATGGTGTCCCAAAAAATGAGATCGATAGTGAGATCGATATTGAGATCGACAGGTGTCCCGTGGTGTCCCGTGGTGTCCCGTTGGGTGAGATCGATAGTGAGATCGATCTGGTGTCCCGAGGTGTCCCGTGGTGTCCTATGGTGTCCCGTTGAGTGAGATCGATAGTGAGATCGATAAAGAGACCGATAGTGAGATCGAGAGGTGTCCCGCGATGTCCCGTGGTGTCCAGTGGTGGCCCGTGGTGTCCCGTTGAGTGAGATCGATAGTGAGATCGACAAGTGTCCCGTGGTGTCTCGTTGAATGAGATCGATAGTGAGAACGATTGAGTCAGATGTTGGTTCCCCAGATCTCCCCCCCCAGAACTTCCTTATCACCCGAAGTGTGGTCGTATAGGTATTATCGCTCTCATTTTTCCCCAATCAGTGCTTGCACTGAACGGGTCCTCGCGGATGTTGAAGGATTTGGCGAAAATGCCCCGCCGATTCTGGTCGCACGCTGGGTTCCCGGGTTCCCGGGTTCCCGGTTCTGGGTTCCCGGGTTCTCGGGGTCCCTGTTCCGGGTTCAGGGCGGCGAGGTTCCCGGGTTCCCGGTTGCTGGTCGATCTTCTTATCGATAGGTCTCACAATCGATCTCATTACCGACTTCTCGATCGATCTCACTATCGATCTCACAATCGATCTCACTATCAATCTCACAAGCCATCTTACTAGAGATCGCATGAGCAAACTCGCGGTCGATCTCACTGTCGATCTCCGAGACGATCCCAAAACAAGTTTCCTGACACTCGAAAAGAGCCCGAAGACGGCCCAGGAGGGCCCAGAAACTGCCCACCAAGGGCGCCATGATGCGAGAGCGAGGCGCTCGTCGCGGGCCTTCCTGATCCCCTTCTGGGCCCCTGCGTCGCGCTCCGCTTGCATGGGGGCGCGCTCCGTCGGCAGCGGGCAGATCGCGGGGGGGCCGCCCTCTCTGGCCGCCCCCGTGAACGCCGCCGCCTCGTCCACCCCGCCGAAGCGGTGGAGGCCTCCACCGCGGCCCAGGGCGCCCTTCTCGTCGCCGTCGCCCTCGGCAGCCGCGCGCCCCGCTCTTTTGGCAAGCTGGGTTTCGAGCCCCATGGGGCAGATGTGCCCATGCAGCTGCGCCTGCCGCGTGGCCGACTCCACCTCTGCGAGGTCGAGGAGATCGAGCTGGCCCCAACATCCGAGGTGTTCTAACCTGTTTTCGATGGCTGACGCCGATGTCGCCCTTCGTGAGGCGATGAAAAGAGAGGCCGCGAAGTGCCCCATGGGTCCCGATCCCTTCCCGTCGACGAACTGGCAGCGCCAGAGCGCGGTCCACGGCCCATCCAGCAACCTCCCGGAGTGGCCCTCTCAGAAGGCAGCGGGGCCACCTCTCGCCAGGCCCGGCGGACGCGGTGCCCGTCAGCTCGAGGCGCCACTCCAAGCACAATCAGCCTCATGTCCACGCCTCTCTCCGAGCACTTGTACACGGCAGGGTCCATCGAGAGCCGCCTGATCAAGACCCATTTTGCGCCCTGCCGCGGCATCGCGATGTCGCCCTCGGTCTTCTCCGAATCGTTGGGCGCGATCGCGTCTCCGCGGCGGCTGGCGCCGGCGGTCGCCGCGAGCGCCCGCGAGGGCAAGGCCCAACCGGCGCGGGCGGAACGGAGTCGCCGGCGCCGGCTGCAGCCACAGCGCCACCCAGAGGAGGCGCCGCTACCAGAGGCCAAGGCGCGGGCGCGGGGGCAGCGGGCACCCCGGGCGCCGCCGCCGCGACAGGGGCGGCAGCCGCGCCGCTTCCCGCCGCGCCTCGCCGCGGGGGCCTCGCCGGGGGCAGCAGCGCCAGCGGCCGCGAAGTCGAACTGCAGGTGGGCCCCGCCCAGCGGGGCAGGCGGAGGCCGCCCGGACGCGCGCTTCCTGTCGAAGTACAGGCCGTCGACCACCAAGCGCGACTCCGATGGCCCTCGTCTCCGCGACGTTCGGCTCCCGGCGGAACCGATGTTGCAGGTTCGGGTCCACGCCCTGTAACTCCTGGCGCGTGGGGCAGAACGCCGCAACGACGATATCGACTGAGCCAGGTGCGTAGCTCTCCAGGTGCACGTCATGGTCTAGAAGTGAAATCAGCACGTCCAGGGGGCCAGTGATCCCCGCCGGAGGACTCGCCAACTTGCCCCAGACCCTCCATTGATTCCACAGCTGCTCGCCTCGATATAGCACCCTTGCTCAAGGCAGGACGCCGGCGAGCGGGGCCACTGGGCTGGCCATCTCCGCGACGATTAATGAGAGACCGCACCGCCTTGAAGAGATCTCGGATCAGCTGGAAGGCCGCCAGCAGGGCGTGGACTAAGAGCCAGGCGAGCCAACTCGATCAGGTCCCATCCTTCAGCGGGATCCGCGGGGGGCGGCAAGGGTGCCGCGGCCAGCGGTTCCGCGGGCGCCGGCGGAGGGGCCGAGGGCGCCGGCGCCGGGCAAATCAGAGATTGCTCTGACGCCAGGCAAGGGGCCTCCCCGCGTGAAAGGTTCGGGCAGACCGCCGCCGGGCAAGCGAGGGGAGCAGGGCCGGAGGGCGCCGCAGGCCACGGCGGAGCTAGCGCGAACCAGGCCGCCAGCAGGTTGGACGCCACGCCGAGGACCACGGACGCTTTGCTCACCATCCAAGATCGCATGAGCAGACGCACCAGCCTGGCAAGAAAAATGGTTTTAGCATGGATGCCCACGGCCCCCCCCGATCCCCAGGCACGGCAATGAATATATGGCACGCCATGGCACTACAAACATACATGCATGCATGCGTACACACATACATACATGCATGCAGCAATACCTACATGCGTACATGTTTACATACTTACATACACGCATGCATGCATGCATGTATACACTTGTACACATACATACATACATACATACATACATACATACATACATACATACATACATACATACATACATACATACATACATACACACACATACATACATACATACATACATACATACATACACACATACAAATATAGAACTACAAACAAAGTATGTGTACATGTCGGCGGTGCCCCGTGGCACGTCCCCCCCAAATACAACCGGGTGGGTTCGTGCAATCCGCACCGGGCGCCGCCGACTGCTCAAACCCCCCCACCCCTGTCCCTTTACCGGGGGGTTTTCGCGCAGGCCGCACCGGGTGCCGCCGACGGCTCAGAACACCCCCCCCTGTCCCTTTACCGGGGGGGTTCGTGCAGGCCGCACTGGGGGGGCTTCGACCTGGACCCCCCCCCCTGTGGGAGAGGGGGGGTGGGAGTGGGGGCTGGGGGTGGGGCGGGGTGCGGGTGGGGTGGGGCGTTCTCTGTGGAGTGGTGGCGTCTTGGAGCACCCTTGGGGTCCAGTCGAACTAGTCGTGCATACCGGGGGCTTTCGTGCATACCAAGGGGTCTTCGTGCTTACCGGGGGGGTTCGTGCCGGCTACCGAGGGGTTTCGTGCTTACCAAATCTGGTTTCGTGCCAGCTCGCACCGGCGGTACCGCCAGCTCGAACCCCCCCAGGATGAAATCTACCGGTGGGGATTCGCTCCGCACCAGGCACCGCCGACATACATGTATATATATATATATATATATATATAGACATACCTATACACGTACATGCATGCATGCATGAATGCATACATACATGCATACATGCATGCTTGTATACACATATGCATGCGTACGTACGTACGGGCATGCCTGCCTGCATGCATACACAGACACATATGCATGCATACATACATGCATCCATGAATCCATACATTGCTGCAAACATTCATGGCTTCCAATAGGCCCAGCTCAGCCTTAGCATAAGCCCTAAACCCGTGCTTAACTCAGACCCAGGCCTAGGCCTTGGCGCCCGCGCCAACGGCCTCAGTCCTTTCGCCTAGCGTCGGCTATATCGCTCTGGCGTCGATTTGGCCTTGCTTTACATCAAACTAGACCTCCAACCCAGCGTTCCTGGCCGCTGGCTCGGTTCCCGTCCTGCGATTACGAACGTTCTGCGAGAGGGGCCTGGCAGGCGTGCACCAACTCTTGGACACACGGTCGGCGCACGCACCTTCCAGGCTGGGCCTGGAAAGCACATGCATCGATCCAAACACCAAGAGTGGCGGGCGATTGTTAACGGGGGGCAGTGATCAAAACGTGGTGTGAAGAAACATGCACATCATGGGCCCGTGGTTGCAAATCAGGGCCCCTCCGGGACCGCTTTCCTGCAATCCTCGATCCCCCCACTCCACATTTGGTGCCTCCCCGTGGCCGTCCACACGAGATTGGCCTGACCAACGCCGGTACCAACGCACAATCGGTACTCTCCGATACCGGAGCGCTTCGCCAGTAGACGCCGTCAACGGCTGCCCTCTGACTGGCGGCCCGCCGAGGTCCTGCGGCGCCCGCTGCTGCGCAACCAGCAACTGCGCGTGGGCGCCCGCGAAGTCGTCGTCCTGCGCCACTAAGATCTTGGCGCGCAACAGCCGCGTCCCCGGGGAGTCTGGTTGGCTCTCCTGCCGTGAAGGGGGGGGGGATGCGGCACGGGGGAGGGCAGGGTAAGTGCGTGTCGTGACGACGCATGCGTTGGTTTCCGACCTCGCGTGGATCGTTCAACGTTGGGCGATCGCGGCTCTCCGATGGTGCGGATGGTTCGACGTCGGCCGATTTCGTGCCACTGGCGGCTTTCAATCTTGAACGTGGGGTCGCCGCCGCGTACGGGGTCGGGCTGCGCCACTCGCAGGCCGCTTGGAAGATGCGAATGGCCGCTTGGAAGATGCGAATGACAACACAAAGTAGGAATGCGGTCAAACGAGGCGGATCGTCTCGTCGCGCGCGCTGCTCCTCCCCCACTCCGCCCCCCCGCCCGCCGCCTCGCCGGGGTCGCCGCAGCCGCCGCCGCTGCCTCGCGCGAGCGCGCGCGCGAGCCTCGATGCCTGAGAGGCTCCGGAGCCACGCTGGGCGCAGCGAAGCCGCCCCGACGGGCCGCCGCCGCCGCCGACGCTGCCGCCGCTGCCGCCGCCGCCGCCGCTGCCGCCGCCTCGCGCGCGCGCGTGCGCGCGGAGGCCCCGCCTCGAGGAAGGCGCAGTGGGCCTCCGCCTCGGCCAGGTCCTGACGCGCGGCCTTCATGACCTCGGAGGTGACGGTGCCTGCGCCGCGGTGGGCGGCGGGCACGAGGAGGGCGGCGAGGGCGAGGGCGACGTGGAGGACGAGGACGAGGAGGACGAGGAGGGCGAGGAGGGCGAGGAGGGCCAGGAGGCCGTGGTCGAGGACGACGAAAAGGGAGTGGACGAGGAGGACGTGGAGGATCTGTGCGCTCGCAGGGTGAAGGTATGCAGCAACGAACACCTGCAGCATCAGACCACCGTCTCGCAAATTCAGGGGGACGCTGGAGCCCAAGCACACAACTGGCCTGCAGGGATCGGTGTGTGTGTGTGTGCCTTTTCGAAGTGCTGCGCTGTTTGCACTGATAATTGGAATCCCACTCTTCCAAACGCTCTCTTCCCTTCGGGGAGGGGTACCGTCCCCCTCTCCTCACTGAGATTTTTTGGTGGGTGTCGCGATGTGTTTGAGGGGTCCATGTTCGCCCTCCTAAAAAGGCCTCCTATGCTCCAAGATGGCCTCCAAGGTGGGTCAAGATAGCCGAGGATGGTTCAAGATAGCTTCTGAAAATTCCCCAAAGTGCCCGACGAAGGCCGCAAGACGGCTCCAAGTGCTCGCGGAGTCCCCATCAACACCCCCCAAGAAGCCAAGTCTTTCCAAGACCTGAAGCGAAGCAATGACTTGTGCCTTCTCGCCTTTTCGCTTCCGATGAGCATTCGAGGCCTCAAGATTGTCCCAAGATGGCCAAGGGCAGACCCCAAGAAGGGCCCAGGAGGCCCTCCAAACGGCTCCACGAGCACCCAAGATCGGCACAAGAGCGTCCCGAGTGGCGATGTTGATGGCCCCAGGGGGGAGGCAAAATTTTGGGCGCCCTCCCTTTTTATCGATGGCTTCAAACATGGCCCCAGGAGGCCCTCTCGGGCTTCACGAGGGGACCAAGCGAGCCCCAAGAGAGCTCCAAGAGGGCCCCCAACCCGCCAAAAGAGCCCAAAGAGGAGCCCAAAACGCCCCAAAGAGGGCTCAAAGAGGCAATTTTGAGGGCTCTGTCCTTGTCCTCGTTGTCTTCCTCCTCCTTCTCCTCCTCCTCCTCGTCCTTGCCCTCATCGTTTTCCTTTTCTTTATCCTCTTCTTCCTCGTCGTCGTGGTCGTCGTAGTGGTCGTCGTCTTCTTCCTCGTCCTCCTCCTCCTCCTCCTCGTCCTTCTCCTTTCCTCGCCACTTCGCGGGCCCCAAGGATGGCCCGAAGAGGCCTTCCAAAGCCACCTCCTTGCTGCAGAAATCTCTCTGTTCACCCTGGTTGCCCGCTTTGTTTCACATATGTGTCTCTTCGTCCCTTTCCCCGTCAACTCTCGTGGGCAAAGCTTCTGAATGGGCTGGCGGGGGCACGCGAACCGTGAAGAATTCGTCGCTCCCGGGCCGACGAGGGCGACGATGACGAGGATGGGCTGGCACTGGGTGTGCGAACAAAATCGGATACGAAGACGTCGTCGGGGATCTCTGGGACCCGGCCAGCCCAGAAGGTGGGTGTACCGTGCGTCGCGGTCGCTCCAGAGCACAATTCGAGAAAGCTCCCGGGCACCTTGGAGCGATTCATCCCTGTACGGGGACCCTCTGAACCAATCACTGAACGAAGACGAGGACGGGGGGGATGAGGACGAGGGGAACGAGGATGAGCAAGAAAAGGGATTGGTATGACGAGAGCGACAAGGACGACGAGGAGAGCGAGGACGAGCATGGGCTGATCATGCGGGTTGGGCGGAAGGCGAGAGCGCTGGACTTCCCTGTGCCAGTCCGAGCACGGGTGGGGCCTTTCGAGTGCGGGCGAGGGAAGATGCGACCTCCTCCGCGGTTGCCCTCGACGCCCCATCCTCGAACGATGGCGGCCATGTCGGTGGAGCTGGAGGAAGAGCAGGAGGTAGTCCTGGAGGAGAGCCGACGGCGTGAACAAAATACAAGATCTCGTAAAGATCACCACCCGAGCACCCGATACGTTCATATGTCGATTTTTTTTTCTCGAGTCAAGCCGATCAGAGAGGGTCCTGGGGCCAGAACTTGGCGCGAATGCGATTGTGGTGTTCTTTTCTCAACGCTGGAACCTGGGGACGACGACGACGTGACGACAACGACGACATCGACAGAGAGGCTTCATGGACCACTAGAGGTCGCCAGAGGAGGCCACCGACGGCCGCCAGAAGCTGCCGAAGGCCGCAGTCGCCCGAGGCTTCGGGACCTGTGCAGGCATGCGTTCTGGCCACGAAAAAGAAAATCGTCGCAATTCCCGAATCGCGTTTCGCCAGAAGGTTCACCCATTGCAAAAAAAAAACACCCAAAGGAGTCCCACAAAGGAGGACGGGGAGCCAAGAACCGCCGCCCTAGATCGTTTGGGTCGGCAGCCGTTTCGCTGGAGACCTCACAACGATTTCTTCAGGAACCGTGCTCTCGCCGTCATGCCGGCTACATGTTTGGTACCCCTGATGAAACATACTGCGATGCACATGGCCGTGCTCTCATGCCTGTCCCGCCTGTCAGCGTTTCCAGAAATCCGTGGGAATCCATATGAATACACGTCTTCATGGCGACTTATTCCTCACTGGCAAAAACTTCCACTCTGCCACCTAGCCGGCTGACAGCGACCAGATCCGGGTGGTCCGATCGCACTTGTCAAGCAGCAGGTGAGCGTTTCCTTGTTCGGCGTTTCGACATTGGGCGGAATGAGGGGTTAGGGGGTAGGGTCTGGCTCCGGACCTCTGCTTTGCGCGGCTGTTTGCAGAAGTGCGCCCTATAGGGGAGAAGCTCCATCTGCTCGAGACAGGCGCTAAAACAGCCACGATCTACTCCATGGAGGGGGGGAGGGGGGCCCGCGCCGATCGGCAAAACAATGGATAAAAAACGGTCACCACGACAAAATCATCGTTTTTTGTCTCAGATGCATCGTTCTGCTGTCGACGCTGCAGAATGCGTGGCAAGAGCGGGGCGCGGCGCGCACCCCCCGCGCGAAAGGCCGAACGGTCTTTGCCAAAGAGTTGTTCCTGGGGAAATCAAGAGGTACCGATACCGCTACTCCCTGGACCTCTCCCAGGGTGCGTTCTGACAGAAATTCGAAGCGAATCCAGCGGTGGCGACCAGAGCCTCCCAGGAGGCCCCAAAAGGGGAAAACGAGGGGAGGGTAGCAGTATGGCTACCTTTTGATCCACTGAGTTGTCCCGCTCATGCGCGGCGCACATTCTTTGCATGCGCGACAGGTCGCCGTCGCCCAGGCTCCGTGCTGGTTTTGCTCAGAAGGGGCGTTCCCGCGCGGGCGCGGGGCGTTCGCCGGATCGCATGAAAACGACAGCGGCAGCGGGGCCGCGCGAGAGCGGGAGAAGTGCCAACCTCGGCCCGCAACCAGGCGCCGCGCAGCTTGTGAGTGGAACCGGCAGTGCTGTGCCAGCGCGGCACATGCTTCGTCTTCGCCAAATCGTCAGAAGCGGGGCCGCGCGCGAGCCTCTTCAATTTGCGAGGCAGGAACGCGTTCTAAGCCCAATCTCAAATTGTGCCACAATTGATCCTTCTGCTGTGGGAGGGGGGACGGGAATAAGCGTGGCCCTCTGACTCGATCGATCGGGTTAACTTGGCCGACCCTCCACTCCTCGACACGCCTCTTCACCTTTACTGCTATTGGGGCGCTTTGCTAGGATGACTCGCAGCACCGAGCCCCAAGGCCCCAGAGGTCTGGACCCCGTCCCAAGAATCGGTTTTTCATCCCGGGGAATTATTTCACGGTGGACTCCGAGGGCCGCCGATGGACTCCGAGGGCCGCCGATGGAACGCCGAAGGCCGCAGGTGGGCACCAGAGGCCGTCTAGGGCCGCCGAGGGCCGCTAGAGGCCGCCAGAGGCTGCCGTGGCCGCCGAGGGCGGGCTGCCGCTTCAAAGGTTCTCGCGCGCGCGCGCGCACGGATCCGCGCGCGCCTAGGTCCAGCACGGGCGCCGCCCGGCACGCCAGCGCCCAGCCGATGGACGAGCGGGCGGCGCAGAGCTCCTCGCGGGCTCGCGCGCGCGCTCGCCGCGGCGGCGGGCGGCGAGCGGCGACGAGGAGCTCCGGGCGTCCCAAGTTTTTCCCCACATGGTTAGTGGGGTTATGGTTTTCTTCCCTGCCTCGTCGCACCCGCGGCCCTCACACCCCAACCTTCCTCCTCCCTTTCCTTTCACACAGCACATCACAGCGCAGCACAGCGCAACACAGCGCAGCACAGCACAGCACAGCGCAGCACAGCGCAGCACAGCACAGCACAGCTCAGCACAACACATACCAGCGCACACACGATAACACACACACACAAACGCACGCATGCGCGCACCACGCACGCACGCGCGCTCGCACGCAAACGCACACACACACACACACACACACACACACACACACACACACACACACACACACACACACACACACACACACACACACACACACACACAACACACACACAACACACACACACACACAACACACACACACACACACACACAACACACAACACACACACACACGCACGCACACGCACACACACACACACACGCGCACACACACACACACACACGCGCACACACACACGCACGCACGCACGCACGCACGCACGCACGCACGCACGCGCACACACACAGACACACACACAAAAACACACGCACACGCACACGCACACGCACACGCACACGCACACGCACACACACCACACACCACACACCACACACCACACACCACACACCACACACCACACCTACCACACACACGCACTCACACACACACATACGCACACACACACACACACCTCAAAACACACGAACAGGCTCGCAGGGCGTGGCAGGCGTGACATATACACACAAGGCACACACGCACACATCACAACACACAGAGCACGCACACAAGCAGCGCAGCACAGCACAGCACAGTTCAGTCCACCAGAGGGGGTGCGCAGGGGGTGGTCTCTCACCGCGGCCGCTATCCACGACAATGTCGAAAAACCTAGCAAGCGTGGCAATTGCTCGACACCAGAGGGGGTGCGGAGGGGGTGGTCTCTCACCGCGGCCGCTATCCACGACACTGTCGAGAAGCCTAGCAGGCGCGGCAAGTTCTCGACGCCAGAGGGGGTGCGCAGGCGGTGGTCTCTCACCGCGGCCGCTATCCACGACACTGTCGAAAAGCCTAGCAGTCACCGCGGCCGCTATCCACGACACTGTCGAAAAGCCTAGCAGGCGTGGCAATTCCTCGACACCAGAAGGGGGTGCGGAGGGGGTGGTCTCTCACCGCGGCCGCTATCCACGACACTGTCGGAAAGCCTCGCAGGCGCGGCAAGTTCAGTCCACCAGAGGGGGTGCGCAGGGGGTGGTCTCTCACCGCGGCCGCTATCCACGACAATGTGGACAAGCATGGCAGGCACGGCAATTCCTCGCCACCAGAGGGGGTGCGCAGGGGGTGGTCTCTCACCGCGGCCGCTATCCACGACACTGTCGAAAAGCCTGGCAGGCGCGGCAATTTCTCGACACCAGACGGGGTGCGCAAGGGGTGGTCTCTCACTGCGGCCGCTATCCACGACAGTGTCGAAAAGCCTGGCAGGCGCGGCAGTTTCTCGACGCCAGAGGGGGTGCGCAGGCGGTGGTCTCTCACCGCGGCCGCTATCCACGACACTGTCGAAAAACCTAGCAGGCGCGGCAATTTCTCGACACCAGACGGGGTGCGCAGGGGGTGGTCTCTCACCGCGGCCGCTATCCACGACAGTGTCGAAAGCCTGGCAGGCGCGGCAGTTTCTCGACGCCAGAGGGGGTGCGCAGGCGGTGGTCTCTCACCGCGGCCGCTATCCACGACACTGTCGAAAAACCTAGCAGGCGCGGCAGTTTCTCGACACCAGGGGGGTGCGCAGGGGGTGGTCTCTCACCGCGGCCGCTATCCACGACACTATCGAAAAGCCTAGCAGGCGCGGCAATTTCTCGACACCAGAGGGGGTGCGCAGGGGGTGGTCTCTCACCGCGGCCGCTATCCACGACACTGTCGAAAAGCCTGGCAGGCGCGGCAATTTCTCGACGCCAGAGGGGGTGCGCAGGCAGTGGTCTCTCACCGCGCGGCCGCTATCCACGACATGGTCGAAAAGCATAGCAGGCGCGGCAATTTCTCGACACCAGAAGGGGTGCGCAGGGGGTGGTCTCTCACCGCGGCCGCTATCCACGACACTGTCGAGAAGCGTAGCAGGCGCGGGATGTTTTTCTGACTGGTGATGGGCTGGGTGACAGCTAGTGCGAGGGACTATGGATGATGAGGAAACACGATGTGACATACGCATGGCATGAAATAAGTATGTGGGGCTCCTCGGTAGCGTAACTTCGCCTCGGGCGTGTTCGTCCAGATACGGGCCCGGGGGCCATCACATTTCGGGCTCGGCAACCGTCGCAGAGAAAGATGGCCGGTAGTGATCTTTCACTGCGTAGCAACTTTTTGCGACGCCGGATGTCGGGGCAGGAGCGAGGAGCGGGGTACGGTGGGCCACGGCGATCGGCGAGCGGCGAACAAAGCGCAGGCTTCGGCGCAGAAGGGCACGAACGACGAAGAACGATAGGCGACGAAGGCGGCCGACGAAGAATTTGGGGTCCCCAGACGGCGCGGTGACCACACCGTGTGGTGAGTCAGTGTGGATTCGGGGTCACCGCACGGTTTTGGGACCCTGGCCGTTCTCCGAGGATGTCTCGGGCGACTGGTGCCTCGGAAGTCCCAAGACAGTGCGGTGACGGACCGTGCGGTGAAGTCTCTTGGGGATCCGAGGTCACCGCGCGGTCTGCCGCCACACGGTTTGGGACCCCAAGAGAACGGCAACCCCGAGAACAAGCGCCAATGTGGCCCAGAGGAGAGGGAGCGGCGGTGGCAATGCGGCCAAGGTGAAAGCAGAGGGCAGAGGGACTGGGTACAGACAGGGAGCGCAGAGCGAGAGCCGCGCCGAGGATGAGGACGGGGGGGGCGCGCCACAGCAACAGGGCGGAGCATCATAATGACAATAGTACGAGCAATGGTAATAAACATGCGAATCATAGTGATACAAAACAGGAAAGCACGAATTATAATAATGTTAACAATAATCTGCTTAATGATACTGATGATACTAATGACAATACTAGCAACAATAATATGAAGACGCCGTGCACGTCAGAGGTACATGGGCAGGAGAATGGCGCGACCGCCGCCGAGCGCAAGCCTCAACCGCTCTCCCCCCAGCCCTGCCGGCGGGCTGGCCTGCTGGCGTCCCGTCGGCGGGCTTGCGCGATGCACCATGTCTCGGGGGGCTGCCCGATATGCGCAGCGGCCCAGCTTACAACATCAGTCAGACGTTGCTTCCTTCGATGCCTCTGCAGCCCCCCTTTTCCCTTGTCGACGGCGTCGCAATGCTTGCGAGATGTGGCTGCTCTCGCAAGCGGGCCAGAGATCCGTCTGAGACGACAAATACGCACTGTCTACATCATCATCCCAGTCCTGACGCCGCATCATACGGCTACAATTGCGAACGATGGCTGGCAAGAATGCGGCTGGCAGTGGCAGCGCTCAGACATCGTCAGCTTCACGTCACTTTTCGAGGAACAGCGCCAGTGGCAGAACGTACCTCCAGATGAGATGCGTCAACAAATTTGGAGCATCGATCGTTTTTTTTTTGGTCTAAGAATATTAAGGGTATGCAGGGGGTCAGTCGCCAGAAGTTCCGGATTTGGCAGCAGAAGCGGAGGGGGTCGGGTGCGAGTGGAGGCGAAAGCGAGGTGGAGTCGAGCGTGGGCAGCGGCAGGGGAGGGACAGCAATGGCAACACATAGCGTGGGCAGCGGCAGGGGAGGGGAGGGAGTTACCGCAATGCAGGAGCTGACTGGCAATAGCGTGTGTGAGAAGCTCCGGCAGTGGCACCAGATAACGGTGCGAGAGCTGGATACCAGACGTCATCAGCTACATGCGCGGACCAGCATGGGTGCGAGAAGCTGGCAGTGGCTGCAGATGATGTGGCAATAAATGGATGTCAGACTTCATCAACTACAATCTGGGAACAAAACTGGCGCGAGGAGACGGCAATGGCAGAGCAGCTGGGGTTCCGAGAAATGTAGAACACCGTACGTCATCAGCTACAGAAGGTAACAACGTCTGCGAGAAGCGCCCGCAGTGGCAGCAAACAGCGGCGCTGGCACTTGCAGAGCAGGATCGGAGTAGGAGCGAAGTGCGAGAAGGCGGGGCTGCGGCACAAAGAGCCAGATGCAGGCAGGGGTGCGAGATCTGACTGCCAGGCGTCATCAGCTATTGTGCAAGCAAATGTGGGGCGACATGTCCACGATTGGATCCGCGATCCGATCCACAAGCCTTGGCTAAAAACTCATAGCCTGGAAGGGGACTATACGGATACTCACATCCGCCAGATTGCACTGCACTAAAGGCACATCTGAAACTACACGTGCAAAACAATGGACGAAATCCTGGCGGCAACGGTAAGCTCGGTGGGCTCGGCAAAGACGGGGCGGAAACTGACCGCAACCGAACCCACAAATTCAACAATGTCAGGGACCGACCGCTGTCGGTGATAGGGTACCGTGAAGGAGCCAGACGACCACACGGTGAAGGACTTCTAAGCGGACGGCTCGGACAGCGTGGTCGAGCGAACTGCCGTGCGTAGGACGACCGAGTTTCGATGAAGGGCCCGGGGCCGCCGCCAATGCCAGTCGGCACGGTGGCGAGGCCGCTCCCACCCCCTCCCACCCCGTCACCACGTACTACCGATGACGATTGTGATGACGATGACGATGACGATGGTCATCGTCATCGTCATCAGCTTCCCCCCTCCCCCTAACCTTCTGGTGCGGGTGGAACGGTCCAGGACGCGCGGCCGCGCACGCGCTGCGGCGGTGCGAGGACACCCCGCTCCCACCAACTCCCCTTTTTGGTTTCTCTCTCTCTCTCTCTTTCTCTCCCTCTCTCTCTCGCTCTTTCTCTCCCCGCTTCTCCTCCCAGAATCTGGCTCCGGCGTGGGTCCGACACCCCCGCGGTTAGCTGGTGGCCGCGGGCGGCCGCCTGGCGAACGGCGCTGTAGATGTAGGTATCGCCAGGGAAGTCCGCAGAAGGAGGGAGGCTACTCCTCCTGCTCTCCCTTTCCCCTTTGCCCCATTTCAGCTGGGGTGGGGGGCCCTCGCGCTCTCCTCGCCCGCCGCCGCGGCCAGCTGCGGCTCGGCCGCCAGCCTGGAGGGAGGGAGGGGGCGGAAGGGGTTAGGAGGCCTTGGGAGGCCCTCGCGGGAACAAAGGAATACTTCGAAAGTTCGTCGGAACTTCGACTGAGACGGGTGGAGCCTGATGAGGCCATGTGTGAAGACACGTTGCACTGGGCCAAACGGGATGAGTCCAGATTCCGACAAGGAATGTGCCGACGCCGATGCTGAAGTCCCCCCCAAGTGGCTGCAGCCTAAGGACGGGAGGGCGGAGGAGGAATGGAGTCAGAAAGCGAGGGGGACAACGTGAGCGGGAGAGAGAGAGAGAGAGAGAGAAAGAGCGGAAGGCAGGGAAGTATGCACACACACACACATATGTATACATCTATATATGTATACATCTATATAAATATATATATATGTACTAGAACCATCGCGCGCGCTTCGCGCGCGCTCAGGTTCTAGCAGGCACCAGGCCTTGACGAATTCACTGCTGCTCCACTGACGTAGTGGGCCACAGTCCACGCATGCCAATCTGCATTCCGAAAGGTCTTCGAGGAACATGTTTCTGTAGGGGGGCGGAGGCCGTGTGAATCGGATTCCCAGAAGGCCTTCTGGGAGCATGGGTTTGGGGCGTCTTGGGGAGCCAATTAGGTCGTCGTCGTCGTCGTCGTAATGTCGTCGTCGCCTATTGGGGCGCGCCGTCGCCGTCGTCGTCGTCGTCGTCGTCGTCGTCGTCGTCGTCGTCTTCGTCGTTTCGTCGTCGTCGTCGATTCAAGAAGGCACTTGGGGCAACTCTGTGCGAAACGATCTGCGGAGGGCCGCGAGAAGGCGGTCAGTCATGTTCCCAATCAACTTCCCAGACAGCGCTCCTGTAGCATGATGGTATACTTCGAAACCTCGGGAGACTCGCGGGCCCATGATGAACCATGTCCCCGGAAGGCTTTCTGGTGACATGGTTTGTTGGGGTGTGTTGGGGGGTCTCTTGGGCGTTCCCTGGGGGCACCTTGGGGGCCTCCGGGAACTCTCGGGCCCATGATGAACCATGTCCCTGGAAGGTTTTCTGGGGACATGATTTCTTGGGGTGTTTGGGGGGGCCTCTTGGGCGTTCCCTGCGAGCCCCCTGGGGGTCTCTTGGGGCTTCCTGGGGGGTGGGAGCCTCTTGGTGGCCTCCGGGGGCCTACAGGCGGCATCGAGGGCCAGAGACCTCGAAATGTAGGTTGGCGGTCCCCCTCTGGGCCCTCTCTTGGGGAGCTCTTGGGGCACAGTTGGGTTGTCTGGGGAGTCTCCTGGGCCATCTTTGGGGCCCTCTTTGGGGCCTCCTGGCCCTGGAGCGATCTGAAGGGCCTCCGAGCGATGCCGTGAGGGAGCGCTGGGAAACGGGGAAAGCGAGAACGCCTAAATCCTTCGAAGACCATCGGAAAACGAGTGAATCTTGCCTTCCAGGGCCCTTTGGGGGAGCCTCTAGAGTCTAGAGTCCGTGCTGGAGCGTGTTCGAGTCCTCGTCGGCCGTCTTGAGGGCAGCTTGGGCGTCTTCGGGGCCTCTTGGGACCGTCTAGGGCCCTCTCGGGACATCCATTAGCCTGTCGTGGCCTGCTTCGGGGCGGGCCTGGGCCGCCTCGGGACCCCTCTGGGCCTTCTCTTGGCGCGCTCTTGGGGCACACTTGGAGCATCCTGGGCCGTCTTGGGGCCCTCGTCGGGGCCTCGTGGGCCTCCTTGGAGCGATCTGAAAGTCCTCCGAGGCCGTGAGGGAGCGCTGGAAAGCGGGAAAAGCGAGAACGCCAAACTCCAAAACACTCGGAAAACGAGTGAATCTTGCCTTCCAGGGCCCTTTTGGGGAGCCTCTTGAATCCGTCCTGGAGAGTGTTGGAGTCCTCGTCGTCTGTCTTGAGGGCATGTTGGGCGTCTTCGGGGCCTCGTGGGACCGTCTTGGGTCCTCTCGGGACCCCCTCAGCCTGTTGTGGCCTCCTTCGGGGCGGGCTCGAGCCGCCTCGGGAGCTCTGGACCCCCCCCCCGCAACCTGGGCACCGATGGGGGGAACAGGCAACGGCCCGCCCCCTCCCCGGGCCTACTCCGAGATAGAGAATCATGTTCCCGGGAAGCTTTCTGGGAGCATGATTTGTTCGGCTCTCTAAGAGGGGGGCCTCCGGGGGCTTACCGAGGGGCGCCTTTTGGCCTTGTCGGCAAGCCTATTGGAAACATGGTTGGGGCGGTGGGCGGAAGCCCCAGGAATCATGTTCCCGGAAAGCTATCTGGGAAATACGATTCACCGAAGTGTCTTGGGGTCCCGCAAGGGGCTTCCCTGGGGGTCCCTTGGGGGCCTAGTGGGGCTTCTGGGGGGCCTCTTGGGAGTCTCACGGAGCTTCTTGGGAGCCTCTTGATGGCCTCCGGGGGCGTCCTAAGAGCCTCTCAGGCCGGATACCTCGAAATGTCGCGCTCTTCGGTCCCTCTTGGGTCGCTCCTGGGGCTCTCTCGGGGCGCTCTCGAGGCCCTCTTGACTTATCTGGGGAGCCTCCTGGGCCGTCTCTGGGCTTTCTTGGGAGCCTCTTTGGCCGTCTTGGAGCGTCTGAAGGGCCTCTGACGCGGTCTGGGACCGTGGGGAGCGGAACATGGGAGAGCGCAAGAATGCTTCAAAAACCATTGGAAAACTTATGATTTTCGGCTTCTGGGGCCCTTTGGAGGGGCCTCTGGAGGCGCTCCTGGTGCGTTTTGGCGGCGTCGTCGGCCGTCCTGAGGCCATCTTCGGCGTGTCCGGGGCCTCTGGGGGCTGTCTTTGGGCGTCCAGGGAGCCCAAGAATCATATTCCCGGAGAGGCTTCCGGGAACATGATTTCGAACGAGGCCCTCTTGGGCCTCCCTAAGGCCGTCTTGGGGGCCTCCTGGGCTGGCTTTGGGGCCTCTTGGGCCGTCTCGGGGGGGTCCGTGAGCCCCACAGGACGACCCTTTTGGGCCGTCTTGGGCCCTCTTGGGTCTCTCTTGGGCTGTCTTGGGCTTCCTCGGGGGCGTCTGGGGCACTGCGAAGACGAAGCAAGGGAGTATACTGAATATGTACGTTTTACTACGGGAACGGGCTGATCTTTGCCTCTTGAAGGCCCTCTTGGGGCCCTCTTCGGCCATCTTCAAGCCATCTCGGGCCCTCTGGGGCCTCGCTGAGGCTGTCCTGGGGCCCTCTAGGGGTCGAAGGGGCCCTAGGAGCCCGGAAGTAATGTTCCCGGAGAGGCTTCCGGGAACATGACTTCGGACGGGGCCCTCTTGGGCCTCCCAAGGGCCGTCTTGGGGTAGGCCCTCTTGGATCTCTCTTGGGCTGTCTTGGGGCTCCGCGGGGGCGTCTGGGGCACTGTGAAGAGGAAGCCAGCGAGTATGCTGAAAATGTACGTTTTACGAGGGAAATGGGCCGATGTGTACCTCTTGAAGGCCCTCTTGGGGCCCTCTTCGGTCATCTTCAAGCCATCTCGGGCCCTCCTTGGCCTCGCTGAGGCTGTCCTGGGGCTCAGTGGGGGGCCCTCCCTGGGAGCCCGGAAGTCATGTTCCCGGAAAGGCTTCCAGGAACATGATTTCGAAC